ACGTTTCATTGAAGTGCTCCTTTTGTAAACCACATTTTTTGTTTTGTGGTCTAACTTTAACACAAATAAAGCGTATGGTTTCCAAACTCGTGAACACGCAAAATATAACTGCCCATGTGAAAAACAATGATTTGCTAAATTTATCCCGCAAATACTAAATGGTTTTAAGAGTTCAAACTACAAACACCATACCTAAATATTTTTATTTTTATATAGTAGATCTCTTACAAATATCTAATTGTCATCCATACGTCATTACTTATCTGTCATTATACGTCAAGTGCATAGCTGTCAATTGTGTTATTCCACGTTTTATAGTGACTGACGTTTCATGTCACGTCCCAAGGGAATGCTGTCGAACGGAATAAAAAGTATCCTATTGCAATTTCCTGGTTCTAAACTACCTCCCTGCCAATTTTCAGCTAAATCGGTTCAGCCTTTATTGGGTTATAAGTGCAGTCACTAACACGACTTTCTTTTATATATATAGATATTGCCCATCACTTACAACCACTTTTTCCCATCTCTCAGGCAGCATTCGAATCCCACGTCTGAAGAACTCCTTGCCTTTTGAGGCTATTCACGAATTAACCCAATTTTTGGTATTCTCATAAGATGTGAACCGCTGCGCTTTCAGAGCATGTGCCATGGACCGGAAAAGGTGATAATCGGACAGTGCAATGTCTGGTGAATACGGCGGGTGGGGTAACACTTCCCAATCAAGTGTTTCCAAGTTCTTTTTCACGGGAGCCGCAACATGTGGACGAGCATTGTCATGCAGAAGAATATTTTTTTCGTGTCTAGAATAGTATTGAGGACGATTTTCCTTCAGTGCTCGGCTCAATCTCATCAATTGTGTTCGATACAGGGTTCCAGTAATTGTTTCGCTCGGATTAAGCAACTCATAATATACTACACCTAGCTGATCCCACCAAATACACAGCATAAGTGACTTCTAATGTTTTTTGTTTGAGATGAATCTTCCTCCAATAATTCCTCTAATTCTGCATCCTCATAATTTTTTGGCATTCCACTGCGATGTTTGTCTTCTACGGCGAAATCACTGTTTTTAAACTTTTGAAACCACACCCAACACCTTCTCTCACTCAAAGCACCCTCACCATATGCTTCTAGGGGCAATTGATTTCTTTAATTTAAGAAGTAAATTAATATTTCCCGCAAATGACGCTTACTTGGTTCAAATTTTGATACTTTCAACTTATAAAAAATATATTTTACTAATATAAAATCAATGATATTAATAAGTTATGTTGTTCTTGAATGTCCAAACATTTTTTTAAGCCAGTTATCATCTGCGAAAAATAACCGAAACTCGGTGCCGCGCCATCTACAATAAAGCGGCGGAAACTTATTTGTACTCCTAATAGTTCCGTTTTTATTGCAACAGTCAGTTACATCGTAGAGTGTGAACAGGGAGAGAAACTTTATACGAATATTATTTCTATTTAGTTGCCAAAAACTTCATTGTGAGTGACAATTTCAAGTAGTTGTACGGATTTATGCTTAAAAGTTTAGCAGCGTCAACGGAAATTAAGTTATTCTATGAAAGTTCGCAATCTTATCCTTTTTTGTTTTCCATATCTTAAATTTATAAAGCAAAGGTTTTGTATGAAAGAAAAATAAACAAAGGATTTGAGACATTTCGTTTGTAAATCACTGTATAAAAATATATAATAATACATACATACATATTATTACAATAGCTTCAAAATGTTAGTAAAAAATAAGACTTTAAATTCCTTTTGAACACATTTTTAATTACCACACTATTTACCTAACTAACGCAGTCGAAATTTTATATATTTATCACGTCGTATAAAAAGATGCCTACGGCCAGTGTGATGTCCAGCGGTCACTGTAGCCTATAGATTCTAGCACTACGAGATATAGCAATATAGCTTTGCGAAACCTATCTGAAAATTATACATTTTTCATTTGTCAAACAAGCAATACTTCTTGAAAAAGCTTTCTTAATATCCAAATATTGTTTAAATTAACAATAATTATGAGGTGGTAGAGCCCAGCTGTGGTCAAGTTACTACAGCTCGAACATGGGCTGGCTCGACCGGGGAAGTACCACCCTCTCACAGAAAATCGGCGTGATGTAGTCTTTAATGGCTGCGTTTCGTCCGGTGAGTGAGAGAGCCGGTTGTCCTTTCCCTTTTCCCACATTTTCCTTTCCCTCCCTTTCCCAATTTTTACTCCCCATTTTCCCCAAACAAGGGCGGCAACACATCTGCATACCTACTTTGCAGATGTCAATGGGCGACGGTCACTACCTACCATCAAGTAGGCCGTCTGCTCGGTTGCCCCCTTTTCCCATAAAAAAAAAAATCTCAACTAGCAACACCCGTCACTCGGAACAGTTTGTCGTTTTTGTATTTTAATTTATGCCTCAATAATATTGATCGAATCCAATGAATTAATTAAATTCATGTTTCAATTTATTCATTATTTCAACACAAAACCACTATATAAATAAGAGTTTTAAATGAATAAAGCTTTACATTATTAATACAATGTTAAATACGATATCGAATTATTTACATTCTTGAATGTTATAACATTTTCAACATTGTTTTATTCTGGCATAAAAGGCTTTTTATTTAATTATGCTAAATTACTATTACATATAATGTAATTTATTTTGTTTTACAATTATGTCGTATGTTTGTGTAACTGTAGATTTATTTGTTCATTATATCTCCTACTGTTTATGCATTGAACTGTCTTCGTCAGTTTTACGAGGATTGAAATTATAATACATATGTTTTGCCATTGAGTTTTTTTAATATACTAGTTTTTGCCCGCGACTTTGTCCGCGTTAATTTCGTCATTAGTAATATACATATGTAGAGCTGACCGGGCGAACTCTATTCCGTCTTAAATAACCAGGTATTGGTATTTATTAAAAATTTCCTGTTTCAATCGAACAAAATGATTGACATATTAGTTAGTTGTCAAAACTTATGTCAAAAAAACATTTGTACGGGAAATAGAAAAGGGCTGTTTTTAGGGTTTTTCCGGAAATGAATCATTTTTTTCAGGTTTAAAACCTTCCCTGAACCTCCACAAACTTTTCAAGACTAAGATAAGATAAATCCGTTCAGCCGTTCTCGAGTTTTAGTGAGACTAAGGAACAGCAATTCATTTTTATATACATGTATAGAATATAGATTAATATTCGTACATTGCAATAGTTGGTCAATTCGGTTATGATAAGTATTCCATACCATTTTTTTCATTCGAGATGCATGATATTCGATTAGGTAGATGAGAAAATGATAAATAATCATTGTATTTACAAAAATATACCACAAAGATTTCAATAGATCTATAAATTTATTCATTTTTCCAACCTGTTATACGTAAATAATTCAAAGAGTGTGGGAGTCCTTTTGATTGCCTCCTTAGATTTTCTCTTATCTGCTGATTATTCCCATAGAATCGTTTTATGTGTTTGAACGAAGCCCACATAGAGATTGTAGGCTGAAGGGAATATCGTAATGTAAGGAGTTTAATAAATAATATTCAGATAAAAATAAACTATATGCGATAAATAAAGCAAAACTATTATAAAATCTACCCTCTCCTATTCACAGAAGGTCAACTTGAAATAGCTGTTTGTGTAATATGTATTATTTTTTACTTTCAATACATTATGCTTTAAAACGATAGGCTTAAATGCTTTTCTTATTTTATATACTAATTCTGTATAATTTAATAGCACTTATATATATCTATTTATAAAATTCTTTCCATTACATAAATTATTGTGCAATCAATGCAAGTAAAATACACGTTTGTTTTTATATTCACTTCTAATGTTTCTCATCGAATGTATAAGCAAGTTCATTTATGAAAGTGAACTTGGCTAGGTCTTAGCTAATATCAAGAAGACCGAAATTATTAAAAACATTTTTTATAATCAGAAGAATATTTTTTATTCAAACGTGTTTATGGCTAAAAATCAAGAGTTTTTCTACCACAACTTCCAAAGGAATAAGTATTTTTTAACTTAGAATATACATGATGAAGACTGCATTGTTATGAGTCATGTTAAAATATTTAAACATAAAAAATAATTTCTCACTTTATATATAAAACATATATAGGTTTCATATTATAATACAATGACTAATAATGTCTAGTCTTCATAAATACCTTATATTTCATAAACTAAAAGCTCCTTTGTATAATATGAAATGAAATACCTAAAAAAAATAAAACCGGATTATTGTTTTTCAGAAGTATTAATATACCAATACATAATATTGGAAACCAGAAACGTTTTTATTGAAAAGCTTTTAAGTTAAACCTGAAATTTTTGATATTTTTATTAAATGGAACTCTCAAATCAATGGAAGTTGGTAGGTAGTTGAAAAGCTTTTGATTATTTAATATATAGATGTTAGCGCAGATATTGAAGCAACAGGCTGCCCTTGAGGCTGAAATATTGAGGTAGTATCAATTTAAATCCGTAAATTAAAAATACTATTACGATACTTTTATAATATATATTATTATTATTTATAGTATCTTTGTTAATCAACTATAAAATTTAATTAACATCACTATATAAGTACCATACTCTATATATTGTCGTAGACTGTCGTTTTTTTTAATATTTCGTAATTCTAATGCAATATCAAGTGACAAGGACGATAAAAATGATAAAATAAAGAGAAAATCGATCGCCACGAAAGCTCTCGCAAAAGTATATGACTTTTAAATTTCCAACAATTGTTTGCTTGCTTTGTAAAAAAAAAAACAAAACAAAATACTATAGAGTGCTTAAAATTTTCAAAATAAAATAGTGAGATATTATTTATTGTGTTTTTTTAATCGGTTATACTGCGTAGTGGGTCGGGTCGTCATTCGTCGTCTGACCGCCGCGAAAGCCGCACGCGTGCCACCGCTGCATACACCCGTAAATACATTCGTGTAATTATGTGCTAAGTGGAATACAAGTATACAAAATGAAAGGCAGGCATCAATTCCGACGCCGTTTCAGCTTACAGCCATCGTTTCTGAAAGAAGAGTCCGAAGAAGAGAGAAGACCGCACAGGTACATATATAGCATTTTTTTTTAATAGTTCAAACTTATTATTATAAATATTTATACATACGTTCATAAATTTCAATAATTTTATTTAAAAAACAATTGAATGTAATTTTGTTATGAAATTATTTACTTTAAAACACTAGTTACTACTATATATAATTAAACGAGCAAACAAACATAAATTAGATAGTCATTAATGTGACATTTGATTAAATGGTAAGCAATTCCATTAAAATATCTATTGTTAGAGAGATTATAATCTTTCGTATACATTAGACGTATTGTGAAGACGTCTTTGAAGTCGTTTCCTGAGAGGCAATTGTCTTCAATTCATTAATCTCGTTATCTGTCTACTGCTGCCATTGTTATTTTTTTATTTTACTAATGAATATCTACTTTAAAATTGTATGTTTTATAAAAGATAATACATATATTGAAATTTTTAAAATGAATATGCTCTGAATAAAAAAATAAATAATCTTATTGAAATGGTCTTAGCAAACAAGCACATGTTTCTATTGTAACAGTAAATCTAATTGTAGCATTGCATCGTCTCGTAGAACCTGTAGAGTTGGGTCTAGGGACTACAAAATTATCTTTTGTTAAAGGTCTTGTTTAGTTGTACTTTAAGTTAAATAAGTTTAAAGAAATATATATTTGAAAATATTGCGCTAGTTAGTTCTTCATTTATATATTTTCTTGACTAGAGTTGACTTAAATTAAGGCAATAAAGAAATAGTCCCTGAAAGAAAGATATGCCTCCATATGTTAGCGCTGTATAATGTATTTTTTCGGCATTTAAATACTTTTGAAATTATTCTGAACCTCGGATTTATTCAAAGATTATAAATATTTATTTATGTATATAGTTCAATACAACATTTAAGTAAGATTAATCTATAGTATATTTGAAAAGAAAATATATTTGTTGTTCGAAAATTTCATAAAGGAAAAATATATTTCTATAAAAATACAATATAAGCTATGTGAATGAAGACGCCATTCAGTACCAAAATTAAAAAGTTTTTAAGGACAAAGTACTACACAATAAAGAATCCTATTAAATTCTGAGACAAATTTGATTATTCTTTGAAAAGTTAAGTCGTAAACTATAGAAATTTATTGAATTAACAATGTTTTGTATGAGTTGAAATGATTTAACTTTATTTATTTACGTTATTCTTTAAATTTATATGAAAATTTGTTACATTAATAGTATAACTAATATAATTTTACTCATTTTCTTGAAATACTTTTCATTACTTATACAATTTCTAAGAAAACTATTCAAATACATTGTTTATTGTAATAACTTTTAAGCTAGAACAAACTGACATCAAAGAATTACCTGATCAAAATTGTCGTTTCAGTTTCCTACGCTTACGAGAAAGGCTTATAAAATACTCATTTCCTATTTTAAACAAGCACCTTTTTCCTTCGTAGCGGTTAAATGTACTTCAAGTTTTAACATTTTGTAGATAATTTTATATTTACAAGAATAAACTTATTACTTACTTATTACAGTATTTGATTAAACGGAGTAAATTAGTATGTGTCATTAATAAAATTAAATAGAACGAATTTTAATTATCAATTACCTTATCAGTTACCTAATCTTTCGTATTTAATTGAAAAGTGATAATATTGAGATAATGTTCTTAATTCATACTACATATGTATATATTTTCGTCTTATTTATTTGACACAAAAACTATACGTATTATAATTTTAAACGTGTCCAATAATCATATGCATATTGTTTTATTATTTATATATCTATGTTTTCACCAGTAATGGTAATTGAATGTTGATTAATTCGGTTCTTGAGTTATCTTAAAATAAGTGATTTTTATAACTAAATATAAGCATCGTGAAAATGATGGCTGTAAAAACATTAAGGAAAAACATTTTCTCCGAAAGAAGACGACATCATAATTGGCTCCTAAATTGAAAAGTGCAGCTTTCTCTATATTAAACATAGCTAGAAGACTTGTTGTCTATACATTTTTCATTCTTTGTGTAAAAAAATATATCCATAAATCATTTACACTATTGCGATCTTTGACATCAACGTTACCCTTCAATTTTTCAAATTCTGACCGCTTGCTGGTTCGTAATGGTTTTATCACACGGAACATCAACTGAAATATGGTTCAAAATTTTGCTAGAAATATTTTCAATGCCCGCAATAAGTTAAGACTCGTTTTTGGCAAAGCGGGTTTTGTTGGGTAGCAGCTCTATAACGAATACGTAATACATAACAAGACTTTGTGTCCTTTAAAAATTTCAACATTCAAATTTAAGGTACACTGTAAACATATGTACATTAAGTAAATAATAAAAATTATCTATCAAAAATAGAATAATGTGATCTTCCAGGCTGTAATGTAGTATTGTTTAAAACAAATTTTTTGGGACGTTCGTCATAAAAGAGTAGACAACGTCCATAAATAATTCATTTTTGCTGCCAATTTTTTACCTTAATATTCATAGAGCTGGTAGTTATTTATACAAACTTAGTTACACTGACAACTATTTCTATTTAAAAAAAAGGATATCCTTTTGATAGATTATATCATACAATATAGAGTGTAAATAAAAAAAGTGAAAATGTAATTTATAAATATTCGAAACACGACTTGATGCAAAGAAAAGTGTAAGGAGTTTCCTTAAATAAATATTTATGTAGATTTGTTGTTTTTTCTTTTTATTTTTAAATATCTGTTTCTTATTTTAGGGGAACGTCAATACGACGTCGGTACCATATTTAATAACTTTGAATTATGAACGATTAATAAAAAATGGATCATTGAACCCTATCCATTAAACAAAAAATTAAAAACAATTAATATCTGTCAAACTATAACTGATACTATAGTAGAGAATGTGACATATTTTAACGTCAGCCACAATGTAAACACCGTCAACTCTTTTATGAAACTATCCTTTTATGTGCGAATAAAAGCCAGCGACGTCGCACCCTTTTCGCTCTGTTACATTATTATCATCGAATCATATGATATTAATGTTTGTTTCTAAAAGCCGAGTCAATTGTTAGACTGCACTTAAAGAAGTCTGAGAGTATCAAGAATAATGGCTACTTAAATTTATTTATAAACATCAAACTTAGAGTACATAGAGACATAAAAATACTGTAAACGAGGTTATAAAACAAAGAACAATTAATGTTTCAACATCGAAAGAAATAATTCTGTTCCAAAAGATCAAAATGATCTTAGAACATCTCGTTTATGTGTTTCCAATATGTTAAATTAAATATTGTCTCTTTTAGCGTTTATTTGGTCGTCTTTATGATTTCATTATTCATCAATTGTCATAAAATTTATTGAAGGTATTATTGGCAAAAATTTACTATGATTATGTTTGGTAGACACAGCATCTTTAAGCACACTTAAAGCTACCTCTGTCTTTCATTTTGTTTTAAACTAGCACAAAGCTTAAATTTTTATATGTGATATTTATCAATTATCTTAGTAATCATTTTCTCACACTAGTCTATTTCTCACATCAGTTAACAAAGAGTGAAATAAAAACAGTTTTTTTGATCTTAATTTGCTCCTATTTCTAGAGAAGAAAAACTTTTAACGAGAAACTTGGACACGTAGGATATTGAGTATTTAATCGTGTTGTTCCAGATTTAATATTCTTTCGGATATGAATATTTTGTTTGAAGACGTGTGGATTTGCTGTTCATCTTAATTTTCTCATTCAATCGCTACGAGTGTGATTTGCTTGATTTTAACAGGATATGTGACGTCACATGACATTTTGCGGGAAAAGACATGTATTGTCTCATGTTACTAGTGTACTCTTATCAGTTAAATAGTTTTATTATTGCCTTATTTCCTAAATAAAGAACTTGAAAAAAGAGATGTCGAGATGGTATGGAATAAAGAACTTTTTTTACCTTTAACGTTCATGAATAAGGGTGCGGATATCCGGTAGAACACTAATAGATCATAAAGGATCGTTTTGAATTCTAGTTCAGGTCATTTAAAATTAAATTTAAACCCATGGAAAATGAAATACAACAAAAAAATGTTATATACAAAAGCAAAGTTTTTACTTTGGAAGACACAATCTATTACAAACCTAACATTATAAGGGTATAAAGATGGTTTATAAAAATACTTTACATACATTTAATTCCTTAACCTATGAGGATACTTTAGTCAAAGAAGATCTTTTAGCAACAAATTATCGTAAAAAATGTGAAATAATGCCAATTAAAGCATATTTGAGAGACATACGTTTTTTAATAGATTTTTATTATAATTTGACTATTGTCAATAAAAGAATCCACTCATTCAGTTATGACAAATACTTTAAAATTAGTGGGATGTTATTTTACTTAGCTTTAACTTTTTGTGAGGTAAATTCCATTCTAATCCGTAAAGATCAACCACTCGTAACTTTTGGCAACATATCATCCAATGGATTCAGTTACTTCAGTTTCCTTTGCAAAGGAAAAACGTGTTTTTTTGTTTTGTAGGATAAATACCCGCTATTTTCTTTAGCGGTGGGTAAAATTCTCAAACTATAACTCAATCACCAGTCCACCGGTCTGGCTTAGTAAACCCAATAACTAATCGAATGGTCGTTCGGTCTTTGGACATTATAAGTGTATTAACAGTCTTCAAAAAATCGGTTTTTTGAACCTTTTAAGTTTTTTTCGATTTTGTATATAAATTTATATATAACATATAATATTTAATTGAATTCGAATGAAATCGTTCAATTAAAGAAGTCATTTTGTCATATTATATCATTTTGTCATATTATATTGCAGACGATATTAGGTAAAATTCTTTTATTTTAAATTTTTGACACTTTTTAAAATTAATTTTAAGAAGTTGATCTTATTATGTAAATAGTACTTTTTATTTATTCGCTTTGATTTATAGTTTTGTCCTATTTTCTACAAATCGACCACATATTTCATATTATGATGAACAATAAAATGAAGTATACAGTTCATAGTT